CCCCCCCCCCAAAAAAAAACCCTCAAAAAACCTGAAAGTTTATTACCACTAAAACCAGTATTACAAGAAATGTTAAAGGGTCTTCTTTAAGAAGAAGAAAGAAAAAACAAAAACCAGTGGAGTACAGTTATAAAGAATAAAATAGCAATAAATTTGTACCCATTAATAATTACTTTAAATGTAAGTGGATTAACTTCTCCCATTAAAAGACATACAGCAGCAAAATGGAAAAGAAAATAAGACCCATATATATGTTCTCTGCAAGACACCCAACCCAGAATGATACAGATTGAAAGTAAAGGGATAAAAATGATATTTTATACAAATGGAAATAAAAAAGCTGGGGTAGCAATATTTATAGCAGACAAAATAGACTTCAAAACAAAGGCTATACTAAGAGACAAAGAAGGACGCTATACCAAAAGCTGATTTAAAATGATTAGCTAGCCCAGCCGGGCATGGCTCAGTGTTTGAGCATTGACCTAGGACCCAGGAGATCGCAGTTCAATTCCCGGTCAGGGCCCATGCCCAGTTTGCCAGCTCGATCCCCAGTGGGGGCCGTGCAGGAGGCAGCTGATCAATGACTCTCACATTGATGTTTTTATCTTTCTCTCCCTTCCTCTCTCTGAAATCAATAAAGACATATTTAAAACAATAAAAATAAAATGATTAGCTAGACTGACAAAGAAAAAAAAGAGAAGACACAAGTAACTAGAATTATGACAGAGAACATTAATTCCAACCTCACAGAAGTAATATAATTAGGCTGTAAGATGAACAAGTGTATGCCAACAAAGTAGATAACCTAAGTAAAATGGGAAATTTCCTAGAAATACACAAACTACTTAATCTGTATCAAGAAGATATAGACAATCTGAATGAATCTTTTGTCCATTATAAATTGGTAGATTTTAATTTTTAGAGCATATTTTGGTTTATAGAAACATGAGCAGAGAGTACATAGAGTTCCCATCTACCAACCCCCCAGCAGTTTCTTCTATTAGCATCTTGTATTAATGTGGCACATTTTTTCCAATAGATGAGCCAAGATTGACACATTATTACTAAGTATTATTAATGCAGTGTATCTCCCATTACAGGATCATACACAGTAGTTTCTCTGCCATGTAAATCTTCTGTGCTTCACTTAATCCATCTCTCTCTTCCCTCACTCCTGAACACCTGGCAGTCACTGATGTTTTTCTGTCTCTATAGTTTTGCCTTTTCTAGAATGTCATATTTTTGGAATCATACAGTGTGTACCCTTTTCATACTGGCTTCTTTCTTTTTTAAAAAAAATGTTTTTATCGATTTTTAGGAGAGAGAAAGGGAGAGGGAAAAGGGAGAAACATCGATCAGCTTCCTCCTGCATACCCCCGACTGGGAATAGAGCCTGCAACCCTGGCATGTGCCCTGATTGGGAATCAAACTAGTGACCTCTTGTTGCATGGGTCGATGCTCAACCACTGAGCAACACTGGCCAGGCCTGGCTTCTTTCACTTAGCAATATACATTAAAGATTTCTCTGTGTCTTTTTGTGGCTTGAAACTCATTTCTCTTTATCACTGACTAGTATTTCATTGTCTGGATATGTCACTGAAGGACATCTGGTTGCTTCCCATTTTTGGCAATTATGAATAAAGCTGCTATAAACATTTATGTGCAGGTTTTTGTATGAACATTAATTTTCGCCTTATTTGGGTAAGTATATATGTGTGCAGTTACTGGATCATATGATAAGACTATTTTTGGCTGTGTAAGAAACTGTCAAACTATCTTCTAAAGTGACTACCATTTTGCATTCCTACTAACAATTAGGGAGTTCCTGTTGTTCCACATCCTTGTTAATGTGTGACATCATTGTTTTGGATTTTAGCCATTCTGATAAGTATGAAGTATATCTCAATGGTTTACATTCTTTTTTTAATCCTCACCTGAGGACATGCTTAGAGAGAGGAAGGGAGAGGTAGAAAGAGACACACACACACAGAGAAACATCGGTACAAGAAAGAAACATCTACTGGTTGCCTCCTGTATCTGCCCTGACGACCAGGGATTGAACCCACAACTTAGTTATGTGCCCTGATTGGAAATTGAACATGCAGCCTTTTGGTATATGGGATGATTCTCCAACAAATTGGCCCACACCAGCCAGGGACATTGGCTTAATTTTTAATTCCCTAACAACATAGGATGTAGAAATATGAATTGACTTAGTTTCCTGACATTGACAAGAACCTGTAAGACATACTAACTAGAAGGAATGACCACAAACATCCTTGTCTCATTCCTTATCTGGGAACAAAAGTTTTTAACATTCCACAAGTTAGTATGAATTTGTGGTAGGTTTTCTTTAGGTATCCTTTATCGAATTAAGGAAATAATTTATTTATCCTGGTTTGCTAAAACTTTTTATTTTGAGTGGGTGTTGAATTTATCAAACACATTTTCTGCACCTGCTCTTTAGGCATGGCAGTCTACTTGGGGTTTTTAGGGTGTCTTGAATTCATTGCTTGATATTTGTTGATTTTGAAAATTTCTCAGCCATTATCTTCAAATGTAATTTCTGCTCCATTCTCCTTCTTTCCTTTTGAATAGCCAATTACATGTATATTAGACCTTTTCACTAAATTTTCTTTGTCCCGCAATGTATTTTACATATTTTCCACTCATTTGTCTCTATGGACTTTATTCTGGGTATTTCTTCTAATCTGTCTTCCAAATCTGTTATTCTCTCTTCATGTGTTTCTAATGTGTTATTAAAACACATCCATTAAGTTTTTAAGTTTTTAGTTCTAGATTATTTTTTCACATAATTATCATGGTATTTTAAAGCCCATGACTATTAATTCCAATATCTATAGCATCCATGGGTTGTCTGTTTTTCCTTATTATTATTTTTTTTTCATATTCTATGGTTACTTAATTGGTTTTTAAATTTTTTAAACCAATTTATTTAGGTATGATTGACATACAAAAAGCTGTACATATTTGATGTATACAAGTTGAGTTCAGTGAGCCTGGTTATTTATTTGTAGGTATGTATATATATGTATATATATGAGCTAGAAATTGTATTTGCAAAATTGTGTGTAGAAATTATGAGTGCCTTAACGTAATGCTATTTTGCTCAGGATATGATTTATGTTTATTTTTGCCATTCTTTTAGGCTCCAGGATTATCTAAAACCAGTTTAATGATTGAGATGATTCAAAGCCGAGTTACAGTTTCTGTGAGAACCTGTTCTTCTAGCTTACCCTTACTCCTATGGTAGTGCCATTTGGAATCTTAACCTAGTGCAAGGAGGATTGACCTTGTTCCTCCTACTTTAGGAAGCCCTGATATCTACTCTGAGTTCTCCTAGCCTTACAGGGCATATGACTTATCAGAAGGCCTGGATTTCAAATATTTTTTGAGTGAACAATTGAGCTACTACCAGCCAGGCATTATACTACTCACTGAAACACAGATTAACCTTTGTCTAATCTGGAACAAATTTTAGAATTACAACTTCTAAATTTAAGAAGAGTTTGAATAGCCCAGCTGGCATGGCTCAGTGGTTGAGCACCGACCTATGATCCAGGAGATCGCAGTTTGATTCCTTGTCAGGGCATATGCCTGGGTTGTGGGCTCCATCCCCAGTGTAGGGTGTGCAGGAGGCAGCTGATCAATGACTCTCATCGTTGATGTTTCTATCTCTCTCTCCTTCTCCCTTCCTCTCTTTGAAAAGACACACATGTGCATGCACGTGCACACACACACACATATATATAAGAAGAGTTTGAATATAATGATATCACTTTAAGCACTCCATATTTAAGTGGACACTCGGATGGAGTTTTCAAAATAATTGTTATAGATAACCTACAAGTGACCTCTTTTTCTGGACCTCATGCGTTTTCATTTTACTGATTCTTTCTACTATTAAAATATTCACCTTAAATGTCTTCATTTGCTATTCTTTTAATGTCAGTTATTTATTTAGCAAGCATTTTTAAACATCTGCTATATGCCAGAAACCCTCCTAGGTGTTGGGGTTATAAAATGAATGCCCTTGCCCAGCTGGCATGGCTCAGAGGTTGAGCACCAACCTATGATCCAGGAAATCGAGGTTTGATTCCCGGTCAGGGCACATGCCCAGGTTGTGGGCTTGACCCCCAGTAGGGCGCATGCAGGAAGCAGCCAATCAATGACTCTCTCATCATTGTTTCTCTCTCTTTCGCTCCCTCTCTTTTCCTCTCTTTGAAATCAATAAACACGTATTTAAAAAAAGAAAAAAGAAAACAAATTTCCTTAAGGAGCTTAGGGTCTAGTAGGGAAGTAATGAGGCTGTGCAGTAATGGCTACCTGGAAGATATCCCAGATAGGGTGCTGGGTGAAAGGACAAGTAAGGGTTGGAGAGGGGATAAATCATGATTTAGGGAATTATTTTCCAGTATGTTAGTAATATCCTAATATTTGTTTCTCTATTAGCTGGATTAAAGAGGTTTTGATACTTTTGTTTCCTTTGGCATGCATTCTGCTAAGGATTGGCAAGTATTTTTTGTAAAATGCCAGATAGGAATAGTTTAGGTTTTTAGAAGTCTAAGGGTCTGTGACAAGTTTGCTGCCATTTGAATGCAAGAGCAGCAGTGATGTTCATAGGCAGGTGAGCGTGACATGCTCCATTGAAGCTCTGCCACACACATGGGACCAAGTCCACGCATTGCTGTTCACGAGTCACAACGCAGTCTTCTTTCCCTTCCAACCAGCACAAAATTTAAAACCAGTTTTAACCTGCTTCACAGAAACAGCCAAGGGACTGTATTTGACCAGTGGGCATAGTGTGCATCTCTTGTTTTAGGCTATTTATACTTAGAGATATTTGTATATCTAAACTATAAAGGTATATACTTTATTTTTCATCACAAAAGTAACACATGCTTGGTTTAAAACTAAAGCATTTCATATCCTATACTATGGGTTGGTTCAAATTGTTAGAAATTGTTTACCTATGTGTATATTAATTTTTATCATAAATGGGATTATATTGTATTTACCTATTGGCACTTAACTGCGCACTTAATAATTTTGCCTTTTTGAATTGATTTTGTGCTGTTGTGTTTTCAAGGTGCAAAAGGCAATTGAGGAAGAAAATTGCTGCTTTGGAACTGTTGATACCTGGTTGTTACATAAGCTCACAAAAGGTAAAGATGATCTGACAGATCTATCTCGAGTAACTGAAATTTGATAGAAATGATTTACCTAAAAATAGAAGTTTTTTCCCCCCTTCCCATAGCCCAGACATGTTTCCTTTTGGTACCCTAGTATCTACATGTTATAGTAAAGCTAAATTAATTTCAGATTTGTTGGAAGAGGAGAGTGATTTTAAAATTGTGATGAAACCTCAAATATAAGAATGAGGAACGGTCTTAATTTCAAGACTACTAAAATTTGAGTTTGGTACCCAGTCTCCCACTTTGCAACTGGGTATAACTATGGACAGTCACACTGCACATCTGCACCCCTTCCTCACCTTTAAACTGGGGACCATGATGTGACAGTGTGTATGAAAGTGCTTTTGTCAATCATGAGAGTTCATAAAGTTAAGTGGGAAATTGCCTTGGAGACTTTGCACTGGAAATATACATTTTTGAATGAATTTTCAGGCCCCCCAAATGGTCTAGGTTATAGACTAGAGACAGGTGTTTACACTACCTGATAATAAAAGATTATTTCCAATGTAAATTTAGGTTCTGCATATGCCACGGATTTTTCAAATGCCAGTACAACTGGACTTTTTGACCCATATGAGGTAAAAGAGTTTTTCCTTCCCTCTTGAATCATCAATTTTTGTGTAATTTAATTTGGATTCTGATGACATATTTTTATGTTCAGATGTGTTGGAGCAGCTTCATTACTTCCCTGCTTTCGATACCACTCTCTCTCCTGCCTCCCGTGAGGGATACAAGGTAATAATGAACATTGGGCTTAGAAACCAGCAAAATTGTCCCTGAATTCATTATGAGGAAAAAGCATTTGATTTAAAACTAAAAAGTATTTGAGTTACGTGTTTGGGGTACCATTATGAACATACATTATATAACTTTTTGGCCTATGCTAAAAACAATTTGCTGAACTTTAATATTTCTAGAGCTGTAACTTACTTTTTTTAAAAAAATTTATCTTTATTGTTGAAAGTATTACAGGTGTCCCATTTTTCCCCCCAATTGACCCCTTCCACCTTGCTCCCACCCCTTCCCCAGGCCTTCACCCCGTTATTGTCTGTGTCCATGGGTTATGCATATATGCATATAACTTCTTTGGTTAATCTCTTCCCACCCTCCACCCCCCTTCCCTCTTTCCTCTGAAATATTATTGTCTGTTGCCTGCGTCAATGTCTCTGGGTCTATGTCATTTGACAGGTTCTTTTGTTTATTAGCTGCTTCTTATAGAAGACCCTTTAACATTTCCTGTAGTGCTGGTCTGGTGGTGATGAACTCCTTTAGCTTTTTCTTATTTGTGGAGCTCTTTATCTGACCTTCAGTTCTAAACGATAGCTTTGCTGGGTAGAGCAATCTTGGTTGTAGTTCCATGTTTTTCATCACTTTGAATATTTCTTGCCACTCCCTTCTGGCCTGCAAGGTTTCTATTGAGAAATCAGCTGACAGTCGTATGGGTGCTCCCTTGTAGGTAACTAATTGCTTTTCTCTTGCTGCTTTTAAGATTCTCTCTTTGTCTTTAACCTTTGGCATTTTAATGATGATGTGTCTTGCTGTGAGCCTCTTTGGGTTCTCTTGTTCGGGACCCTCTGTGCTTCCTGGACTTGTAAGTCTATTTCTTTCCCTAGGTCGGGGAAGTTTTCTGTTATTATTTTTTCAAATAGGTTTTCAATTTCTTGCTCTCTTTCTTCTCCTTCTGGTATCCCCATAATGTGAATGTTGGGCCTCTTGAAGTTGTCCCAGGGGCTCCATATGCTGTCTTTATGTTTTTGGATTCTTTTTTCTTTTTCTCTTCTGGTTGGGTGTTTTTTGCTTCCTCATATTCCAGATTGCTGTTTTGATTCTCAGTGTCCTCTACTCTACTGTTGATTCCCTGTAAATGATTCTTCATTTCAGTTCATGTAGCCTTTCTTTCTGATAGATACTTTATTGGGTCATCAGTGGTCTCACTTGTTTTTGTAATAGTCTTACTAATATCCTTGAACATCCTTACAACCAAAATTCTGAACTCTGTATCTGTTAGTTTGCTAGGATCTATTTCATTTAGTTCCTTTTCTGGAGATTTCTTCTGTTCTTTCCTTTGTGACATGCTTCTTTGCCTCCACATTTTGGTTGCTTCCAGATGTTTGTTTCTATGTATTAGGTAGAGCTGCTGTGTCACCTGGAATTTGTAGAGTGGCTTTGTATAGTAGGTGTCCAGTGGCTCAGCCTCCCCAGTCACCTGAGCTGGGCCTTTTAGGTGCCCCCCTGTGAGGGCTGTGTGCACTGTCCTGTTGTAGTTGAGCCTTGGTTGCTGTTGGCATCACTGGGAGGAACTGACTCCCAGTCCAATTGGCTGTGAGGACCAGCTGCAACTACGACCAAAGAGCTGCTGCGCTGGAGACACCCCTATGGAGCAGGATTTACTTCAGTGGAGCTTTGGTGTTCACCAAGTCCTCCCCTTGAGTGTGTCACTCGTGGATGTCGTGGGGTTGTAATCCAGTGTGGCCGAGTCTGATCACCAGGTGCACTGTCTCTGGGGCCTCCCGGGAGGTGCAAAGTCAGCTTCTGCCATTGCCTTGCCCAGGGCCACCCAGCATGAGCTACATAGCAATCCATAGTTGGCTGCTACTTGTGCTGGGCTTGGCGTTGCCCAGGAGAGGCCCAGCTGTGAACCAATGTAGGCTCCCACTAGTGCCAGGCCTGAGGCCACTTATCAAGCCATTTGGGGCCCGCTGCTGCTTGTTTGAGAGATTTTAGGAAAGTCCTAAGCATAAGACTTGAGAGGCCACTTGCACAGAAAAGCCACTGGAAATTGTTGGATGAGCTTGCAGTTATGGAGGGCCAGGGCCTCCAGGAATCACCAGGGCAGAGCGAAAGGTGTGTCAGATTGATGGAGATTCAGGTATGGTGCCCGCCTGCTGGCTCTGTTCAGGTCCGGCTCACCAAAGGAGCCATGGCCTCCACCAGCTCTTCTGCCTGGGAGGAAGCTGCCCCTCCACCTCTCCCCCCGACTTCAGGCAGGTTCGTTCCTCCCCAAGTGTCCCAGGTCCTTTCAAGCTGCTGCCCAGCGCTGGGCTCAGAGAGAGCTTGTCTGAGGCCGTGCGGGGGCCCTTTAAGAGGAAAGCCTGGGGCTTCTGCAGCCTCTGTGATCCTCAGCGACAGTCCCCGGTGGTTCTCACAGCCCGGTGTTGTGGGACTCCTCTTCCCGGCCCTGGAGCCCTGGGCTGGGGGCCTGATTAGGTCTGGGACCCCTCGCTCCTCCGGGAAACCTCCACTGCGGAGATTCCCTGCAGGGTTTACCCCATGGCACAGGTGTCGACCCGCAGCTGCGGTTTCCATGATTCAGCCCTGATCCTCCCGTGTCTTCGCCCCTCCTACCGGTCTTGGTGCTTCTTCAGTTCCCTGGTTGTAGGGCTTTGGTTCAACTAGATTTCAGGAAGCTCTGAGTGATGATTGTTCTTTATTTTAGTTGTAATTTTGATGTGGTTGCGGGAGGCGGCGGGTGCAGCTGTTACCTACGCCGCCATTTTATTTCTCTGTAACTTACTTTTAAATCAATTTTATTTGAAGCTTCAATTTTGGATCAGTGGATGAAGAGATATTTGGTGTGCCTATACCTATAATGGCCTTGGTAAGTTGAAAGTTTGAGGTTTTCTGCTTGTGTAGTATAAAGTAAATGAATATATATGAACAGTTGGGATTAGATATGAGATAGAAATGGTTCTTGCAGATTAAAATTAGAGTATCTTACTTCTTTTTAAATTAAAGTAGCTTGGATCTAGTTAGAAGTCTTGTCTGTATTCTGGGAAGAGCACTGCTGAGCTAGTCTTCTGCCTTGAAAGCACTTTATAACCTTTTCTGTCTTCTCTATGTATTGTTTTTTTAGGAAACTGTTACATTTTTTAAAATATTGTATTCTGAGTAATGTTGGTTTATATTTTGATACTCTGAGATTAAGAACAGTAAAGGGCCAATGCTTAGTTTATATTGGATACAATGTAACCGTAAACAATGATATGACAATTATAGTAAAGAAGTTGTAGTTAGGTTTTATAAATCCTTAGCCATTGTGTGCCAGTAGAGAATCTCATGGAAGAATGAAAAATCAGCTGTTACTGGTGTCTGAAGGTTCTTTCTTGGTTATACTTTCTCTCTGGATGAGTGAGTCAGGACTTGGAGAACCCCAGAGATTTACCACCTGATTGAGAGGCTGTGTAGATCCTGCCTTTGACTTCCTGTAGTGGCTTAGGCAGGAGGTGTAGACATGTCCCTAAATGGACAGTCAGCACAGTAGGTGGAGGAAACAAGGGGAGAAGGGGAAGGGGAATTTCATGCCCAGGTTACAATCCCTGTTCATCTGGAGAGGCTCAGTCTTACCCAGGGCAGGGGTAGGCTCAGGGTTGGGTTAAGGTGTGGCTGGAAGAATTCATGATTAGTAAGAAAGGGTTCTTCAGATGAGTTTTGCTCCTTAAAATATTGCTGTATGTGTATCTCCATTTAGCTCTATTAACGGAATGTTTATCAGAAATGTGTGTTTGGGAGATGTATGGTTTTGAGTTACAGCTGTTTGTAGGTAAGCACACACCTATCGCTCTTACTGAAAGAGAAATTTGTGACCTCAGTTATTTTGACTAATGAGTGAAACCACTTGTAAGATGTGAACAAAAAATCTTGAGGTTTCTTCTGCAGTTTTTACTCTCACTTTTATCTCTAAGGTTATTCCTATGATACTCAAAGTGCATGAAGGAGGTTGCCCAGTAACCATGGCTGAGGCACATTAGTTATCCCCACAGCGTGAGTCCCAGGGGGACTCTTATCCTATAGTTGTGGCTCCCTGTTCTCTCCAGAGATTTTTTTTTAAGGAAACAGAAGAAAGAGAAGACGATACTGAACATGAGAAATTGTGCAGTGAGACAGTGGGGTGCAGTGAGATGGGCCACTGCTAAGGGCCGAGCCTTCCCTTCGGATTTTGGGCAGGTGGCTGACCAGCAGGCTGCCATGTTTGGAGAGTGCTGCTTCCAGACCGGAGACGTGAAGCTGACCATGGGCACCGGGACGTTTCTGGACATCAATACTGGAAACAGCCCTCAACAGAATATTGGAGGTAAGCAATTAGAATTTATCCTTTGGTTAATAAAATACCACCTTTTTCAAATATAACTTTCATGATAGTGTTTTCCCATTTTATATTAAGGATATTCTCTAATGTACTTTATTATTCTTAGAAACAGTTAATCCCCATTTCCCTTTTATCTTTAAATTAAAAGTATGAAAAGTGAGAGATGTTATGGAGAAATTCAGATGGATTAGGGTATTTTGGTTAGCTTCCTAAAAATTTACCTATATGTTATACGTGTTTAAAACATCTTTCTAGACCTAAAATATCTTCTGTGTGTAAGAAATTATTTTTCTTTCTGTGAATTTTTCGAGGTGACAGTCTCATCTAGTGATCCCTGCACATTAATGACAATTACTAAGAAGTTGCTCTCCCTAATGGGAGAGACCGTGGGATGTGGAAACCAAGAAATCTAGACTGTGTAGCTGTACCCAGGGTGGCTGGGCTCTTAGCTGGCCTCTGATCCCCTAACGTGGTGACTGAGAAGTGGATTCAAAGGTCTTTCCTGCCCTGGCCGGCTTGGCTCGGTGGTTAGAGTATCTGCCTGTGGACCGAAAGGTCTCAGGTTTGATTCCAGCCAAGCGCATGTACCTCCGTTACAGGCTTGGCGACCAATCGATCGCTCTCTCTCACGCCCTCTCCCTCCCCTCCGCTCTCTTTGAAAAGCAGTGGGAAAAATGTCCTCAGGTGAGGATTTAAAAAAAAGAGAGGAAACCCTTTTCCTACCTTCCGTCCCCACTAAAGCTCTTCCTTTTCCCCCGACCGGGGAACGGAAGCTGGAGAATCCTGACCGTGCACGAGGTGGTTTTAGTTTAGGAGCCTCGTTTAGAAACCACAGATAAGTGGGATAGATAAGACCATTATCAAGCAGACTAATGTCATAGTCACCTTTTATCTCAATTAAAATATTGCTTCTGTGTTTCCAGAGACACTGACATGCAAAGCTATAAAAGCTAATTCATATTATATGCCAGGCATTGTGCTAAGTTCTTTTTATGTATTAACTCAGTTTATTCTCACAAGAGCTGTCTGAGGTAGCCCATTTTAGTTGAGGAAGCTGACACTAAGAGGTTAGAAACTTTAAGACCCCAGCTAGTAAAGGAGAGAAGACAGGGATTTGACCCAGGCTTTCTGACTTCGGCATTCATTTGCTGCTTTTTAATTAATCAGATTTTTCCATTGTAGATGTCTCTGCAACGAATTATCTATTTACTACATGAGTTACACTGTTTGTTTTTAAGGCTTTTATCCATTAATTGGGTGGAAGATTGGACAAGAGGTTGTATGCTTAGCTGAAGGCAATGCAGGAGACACGGGTACTGCCATAAAATGGGCCCAGCAGTTAGGTAAGTGATCCTCTACCCAGGTTCCAGGCGGACTTAAGGCAAGAGTGCCGCCGGACTGCAGATCCGCAGGGGTGACGGATTGTTCAGATGGAGCACAAACTAAAATGGCAAGTGTTAGAAGAAAAGATGGGGTGCTGTTTTTATGATATTGGGATGGTAAAAGGCTAGGCATTAAGGCCAGATACCATAAAGATAAAGAATAACAGATTTACGTATATAAAATATTAGAATGCGTAAGGAGAGAGTTTCCATAAAGCAGAGCTAAAAGGCACACTGGTGAGAACATTTGGTAGCACGTGTCAGAAAAGTTGATAAAGATAAAAAATGGGCAAAGGACAGAAGTATAGGTGTTTCATAAATCAAAGGATAAAAATGCTATTCAGATTCGATGATTAAAGACATACACATTTAAAAAATGATGTCACCTATCCTTATCAGAGGTTAATTAGTTTGATATGCTCAGCATTGGTGGGACTGTAGAGAAAATAATATTATTGTTTTCATTGGGATGAATGTTAACTTGCAGGGCCTTTCGGGAGGATCATCGGGCAATATGATTGAGTGCAGACCCTTTGCCCACAGTTCGATTTTTTGTTTCCTAAAGAAATAATCCAACAGGTGTGCAGATGTATGCATACTGGGTGTCCAGTGCGGCAATAGGAAATAAGTATCTGATAATAAAGCATTAGATAAGTAAATATCAGTATATCGGTATAGTAGAGCATTGTCCAGTCACAAATAACAGTATAGTTGCATATCTTATTGACCTGGGATATTGTCTATTAGACTGTAAAGGGGATGGTGCAGTTGCCTGTGTAAATATTTTTTGCTTATTTAAAACGCTTTATTGAGATATAATTCACATCCCATCTAACTCACCTATTTAAAGTTTACAATCATTTTTTTTAGTATTTTCACACTTTTGTGCAACCATTACCACAATCTCATTTTAGAACATTTTTGTTCCCCCTGAAATAAACCCCCATGCCCCTCGGTGGTGACTCCCTGTTCCACCTTCATTCCTGAGCTACCTTAAGCTACTTTGGGTCTGTAGATTTGCCTGTTCTGGACATTTCATGTGGTGGAAATCCCGTAACGTGAGGCCTTGTGCAGCTGGTCTCTTTCAGCGTAATCTTTTCAAGCCTCACCCAGGTTACAGCAGGTTCATTTTTTATTGCTGAATAATATTCCATTGTGTGAATGTATCACAATTTATTTATCAGCTGGTGCACATTTGGGTTGTTTCCTCCTTTTGTCTACTGTGAATAATGAGCGGCCTGTGTGCTACATAACGTATTTTGTGCACAAGGTGTGAAATGTTATATACCAAGGTGTTAGCACTGGTTATCTCAGATGATTAAATTATGGAGCAGGCTCTGACTCTCTACTTTCCTTTTTTCAACTAAGCTGATGTTTAAAGACAAAGAAAATTCTGTTGGCAGAAAACATATCCCCTAGGAGGGCAATGCCAACCCATTTTTTCATTTCTCTCTCTTTGTCTACAAGCCGTCACCTACTGTTCTTACAATCTTTTGTGCATGTACTTTAGATAACTGCACGTTGTGGGAACTGTAGGTCGCATATGCCTTCTCTTTAAGGTACACCTTTTCATTTTATTCCTTTCCAGAAGGTGCAGAGGGAAAGCTGAATAATTTCACATTGGTCATTAAGCAAAAAACACCCTCGGGTTGCATAGGACATCATGCGCGTGCGTCAGTGGGAATCGCTTTCCCTGCGCATCCGAGCTGCGGCTCACCGATGGTGATTCTCCAGCGGTGACCACTTTTCTGGGAGATGGAGCTCCAAGGCCCTGACCCATCCAAGTGATGTGGTTTCTGGTGGAGGCACAATGCCCTTCTGAGGGCCAGTCTGTCTCTGGCAGGAAAACACAACGGTTGGTCTAGCTAGAGGGACAGAGAATTACTTTAAAATATCAATGATAGGCGTAGCTAAACGTTACTGGCATGTGTCTTTCTGAAATACAAAAAGCCAACACTGATTTGAATATGTCTCTTTCTGTTCTGAGAATTCACTTTAATGGGTGTATTGCAAAACAACTGCATTACATTCCGGAGAAGCACAGGATGGGGAGCTTCAGTAACCCTGCCATGACCTTGAAGACGTGCCGTGTGAGCCTTTACGTGCTTGTGTGACATGCTGGGCTTGTTCCACCCTCGGTGGTGGCTTCCTTCTGCGTCTTTGCTGGGCGGTACAACTCTGGCTCAGGCATAAAAGCTGCTTCAAAACCGGAAAAAGGTTACTTTCTTCATATTTCCATACAGGCCGCTTCCCTCGCACCCTCTTCCCGTTAGGGTCCAGTGGTAACTGCCCCACTTGGGTCCCTGCATGATCATCTTTTTTCTTTTTAATTTGGTCCATTTCTGCTCCCTTTCACTCTTTGTTCTATTTTGCTATCACAATCTTATAAATATATATATTTAAATATATCTTTATTGATCTCAGAGAGAGGAATGGAGAGGGAAAGAGAGAGAGAAACATTAATGATGAGAGTCACTGACCGGCTGCCACCTGCACGCCCCCGACTGGGGACAAGCCCACAACGCGGGCATGTGCCCTGCCCGGGAATCGAACCTCAATCTCCTGTACCCTAGGTCGACGCTCAACCACTGAGCCACATCCAGCCAGGCCATCTTATAAATATTTTTATGTCTTCCAGCTTTTATCCAGTTAACAAGTGATTGAGTGCTCCTGTGCCTGGAGCTTACTTTCCAGGACAACTGCATTACCCTGCCCTCATGGAGGTTACAGTCTAGCAGGAAACACATATTAAATGAACAATTGGAAAAAAACAAAACAAAACAGAAACCATCAGTGTTAAGTACCAGGAAAAACAAGTGTTTATGGGATGAATGATGTCTTTCTACAGAGAGGGCTTTTTCTAACTGATGAATCAGAAGGTTTCTTTCTTTTTTCTTTTTCCCCTTTTATTGAATTTATTGGGGTGACACTGGCTGACAAAATTATAGAGATTTCAGGCACACAGTTCTACAACACATCACCTGTACACTGTATTGTGTATTCACCACCCCAAGTCAAGTCTCCGTGTATCACCATTTATCCCCCCTTTCCCTCTTCCACCATCCCCCAGCAGTCACTGCACTGTTGCCCTGTCCATGAGGTTTTTTCTTCTTTTTCCCTCTTTGCTCAATTCCTCCCCCCTCCCCCCCACACAGTCCCACCCCACCCAGATAGCTGTCAGCCTGCTCTTTATCTATGAGTCTCTACTTTGCTTGTTAGTTCATTTTGTTCATTAGATTCCACATATTAGTGAAATCATTTGGCAGTTGTCTTTCTCTGCTTGGCTAATTTCACTTGGCATAGTACTCTCCAGTTCCATCCATGCTGTCGCAAAAGGTGAGAGATCCTTCCTTTTTACAGCTGCGTAGTATTCCATGGTGTGACCATCCCACAGCTTTTATCCAAACATCTACTGATGGGCACTTGGGCTGTTTCCAGATCTTAGCTATTGTAGATTGCACTGTTATGAACATAAGGGTGCATATATTCTTTCAAATTACTGTTTTGGGTTTCTTTGGATAAATTCCCAGAAGTGGAATTGCTGGATTAAGACAGCTCCATTTTTAATTTTTTGAGGAACCTCCATACTGCTTTCCACAGTGGCTGCCCCAGTCGGCATTCCCACCAGCAGTGTACTAGGTGCCCCTTTCCCCACACCCTCGCCAGCATGTGTCATTCATTGATTTGTTGATGGGCCATTCTCCCAGGTGTGAGGTGATACCTCATTGTGGTTTTAATTTGCATCTCTCTGATGATTAGTGAAGTTGAGCATTTTTTCATGTGTCTCTTGGCATCTGTATGTCCTCTTTGGAGAAGTTTGTATTCAGGTCCTTTGCTCATTTTTTAAATTGGATTGTTTGTATTTTTGGTGTTGAGTTTTAAAAGTTATTTATAAATATTGGATATCAACCCCTTATAGATGTATTGGTGAATATGTTCTCCCATTCAGTGGGTTGTCATTTCATTTTGTTGATGGTTTCTTTTGCTGTGCAGAAACTTTTTAGTTTGATGAAGTCCTATTTGTTTATTTTTTCTTTTATGTCCCTTGCCTGAGGAGACATATCAGAAAAAAATATTGCTACGAGAAATGTCCACGATTTTATTGCCTGTGTTTTCTTCTAGGATTTTTATGGTTTCAAGTCTAATATTTAAGTTTTTTAACTCTTTTGAATTTATTCTTGTGTATTGTGTAAGGAAGTAGTCTGGTTTCTTAAACACATATCTGTCCAATATTCCCAACATTACCATTTATTGAACAGATTGTCTTTACCCCATTGTATGTTTTTGCCTCCTTTGTCAAATATTAATTGATGTGGGTTTATTTCTGGGCTCTCTGTCCTGTTCCATTGATCTATATGTCTGTTTTTATGCCAGTATCAGGCTGTTTTAATTACTATGGCTTTGTAGTATAGTTTGATACCAGGTAGGGAGATTTCTCCAACTTTGTCCTTCATTTCCAAGATTGCTGTGTCTATTACGGGTCTTTTGTGGTTCCATATAAATTTTTGGAATATTTGTTCTAGTTCTGTGAAATACGCCATTGGTATCTTGATAGGAACTGTGTTGAATCTGTAGAGTGCTTTGGGTCGTGTGGACATTTTAATGATGTTAATTCTTCCTGTCCATGAACATGGTATGTTCTTCCACTTGTTTGTATCTTCTTCAGTTTCTTTCTTTAGTGTCTTACAATTTTCTGAGAACAGGTCTTTTATATTTTGAGTTAAATTCATTTCTAGGTTTTTGGGTGTTTTTTTTTGTGTGTGTTTTTTGTTTGTTTGTTTTTGTTTGTTTGGTTACAGTTGTAAATGGGATTGTTTTTTTAGTTTCCCTTTCTGATCGTGCATTATTGGTGTACAGAAATGCAATTGATTTCTGAATGTTTATCCTGCTACTTTACTGAATTCATTGATCAGTTCTAGTAGGTTTTTGGTGGACTCTTTAGGGTTCTCTACATACAGCAT